CTTTCTGCCTTTAGGGAAAATCCTCCAATGCTGCTCTTTCGTTTCTGTTCTTTGGAGGAAGTTGCTTGCGTGGGTAGTATGTTTTGGTCTACAGCTGTGATCTCATTGTTGTTGTCTGTTGCCTCGTTTTTAGTGCTCTTCTTTTCCACTGGAGTGGGAGCCCTGCAGTACATCATGTCTAAGAAGCGTTTATTGTTGTCCTGGTCACTGAAGTTGCTCTCCATCATGGACGAAGGAGTCCTGTTGCCAAAATAACGCTCATGTCTACTGTAGCTGCCAAAACAGGAAGTGGACACTTTGTCATCGCAGGCTTCTCCTATTCGCTCCAGAGGAGGGGAACATCGAGAGTCGAGCGAGAAACGGGAGGGGGAGTTTGACCTCATCTGAAGCTTGGCTGAGAGAGACCAGGAGGGCCGTATGCCACTGTCACTGAAGGCTAAAGGGCTGGCTATCGACGACCTGGAGGACAAGCTCTGACGCTGAATGCTCCTCACAAAAGGACGCACAGAGAATCCTCCTGAAAGCAGACAACATTGAAGAGAGGCTATTACTTTTTAAACAAGAAACATCAATATTTCATGCATCAATACAAGGAAGATAAAGCATATACCAGGCACGGGAAACAAACAAGAAAAAGACAGCAAATGATGACTGAAAGCAGATAACTTGAAACATGACAAGTCAATATTTCAGCCTGTTTTTTTGAAAGTCCAATCCCCTAAAAGAACAACTGAAAGTCATTTGCCATCTACATCCGGTTATAAGCACCTCCTGGAATATCAAAACTTTAAATGATGTGTGTGTGGAAATTTGTGTTTGTATCTTTTTTATTTCAATATAAATAACCTAAATTATTCATTCGTTTTGTTATTAAGTAAATGTTCAATTGGAGTAAACAGTTTCAATTGGCAACACATTCTGCAGTCAAATACTGTCACACCTGTGAACAGAAACAGATCAAAAAAATGTTCTCACCATCATCCTCACTGCGCTCTCCTGGAAACTCTCCAGACTCGGCTAACGAAGCCAGTGAGGTGCGTCTGGATGAAGCTCCAGAGGCCAAGCTAGCAGGCCTGCTGCCAGGCAGCCTGTTTACCCAGTGGTCACACAGGGACGAGCTTGTGGATCCTGTGTGCAAGACCAGACACCAGTAGATCACTTCAAATTTTCAAAAATACAAAAGAGGCACGTGACCAGGATTGTGAAGCAGACACTGACCAGCAACAGAGCTGTTGGCAGACCAGGAGGGAATGGCAGTTCTCCTCTGATAAAACAGGATGTAGGCTGTCTGCTGACACACGTCATCATCAGGTATCAGGGACACTTCGCTGTCATCAAAGCAGTACCACTGACCATCAACAGAGTTTTTGCAGTAGGCTGTGAGCAAAAGGTGAGGATATGAAATTGTTAAAGGAAAAGCACACTAAACCCAGATGGTGTTTAAACTGCTACGGCCATTTTTCATTACCAGTGTAGTGGCCTCCGTGCATATTGCCATGATGGTTGCACACAGCGTACAGGTCATACAGGTAGTCGTCGGGGTTTCTTCCCAAACCATAGGAACGTCTCCATGGTGACCAGTGGGAGGGTAAACTCCAGCTGCTCTGGCTTCTCTTGACCACATGTGGAGCCATGTCCATCCCCATTAAGGGGAATCTCACCATGTTCTGCATCTTAACTCTCCGGTCGCCCTCCTGGAGTTGACCAAAGCACAAACAGATAAATGAAGACAACAATTGTATCTTAACCTGAAAAGATAAAAATGGGAAATTTCTACAACTATTTTGAACATTTGTCAGCATAAAGGAACAATTAAATATAGCATAGAGTGGCATTTTGAGCTCATTTTCTGTTTACCAATGAGATGACTTTAAGATCAAAACATCCAATATAAAGGCCAAATGTAATAGAAACAGGTAGAACACACCATCGAAATGCTAAATGCTGTGATTTTGATCATTAATATGGACTTTGGGAGTTAAATCAGAGATATACCTGTCTGAACCTCTTGAGATGCAGGATAAGCACATCCGGCAGCGTCCACAGGCTGAGCTTTATGCGACCCTGCTGCAGCTGCTTGCAGTGGGGACAGCGCCAAGCATCGTCTGGGGCCAGCTGAAACACACACATGCATGTCTGTTTATACATTCCTGTGGGGATTCTTCAACCCAGCCCCCTATTCCAAGTTCACTCATCCCAAAATGCCGTACCCTTAGATCTGTGACGACAAATTCTAAACCTAACTCCATATCAAAGTCTTAACTATAAAAAAATTTAATAAAAATGAACATATTGCATCCATTAAGATCGTAATTTGATCCCGTCGTTGACAGAAATCCCCGTAAATTAGTGGACTATCAGGTTTTGTGTTCTTGCCACGATGACACAGCACCCAAGGCTCAAAAAGCTGCAATGACGAACAAGTTCCAACCACACAGCTTATAAAATAATC